AGTTTCCTGAGAAGATTAACAAAAAAAGATAGAAGATGACTGAGCCCATCTCCATGAGGTCAAATACCAGGAAGACTGGGGACAAGGGACCATGCCTGTTGGCAAGGAGAAGAGTGGGGCTTAGGATCACACACTGGGGTCTTGGAGAAGGGTGGTGGTGGGTTCTGAGAGCTTACAATTCCTAGTGCGTGGCCTGGGGATCACGGATGCAGAGGAATTAGAATGAAACTTTTGCTCTCTCGAATGTCACCAGCAAACTTGACACTGGGGCACAGATAGGTCGTCACCTAGAGGGTTCTGTTAATGCACTCATTAGCAGAGCAAGAATAGGCAGACACTGCACGGAGTTTTTGAAAACTGTCATATTCTGCAATTGGGCCACGGAGTCAAAAAATGTCTGCAGTGGGGAAGTACATATAGATCCCTCAAAAAATAGGAGGGGGACATTATACACCGATTACAGAGGCATCTGAGGACAATGTAGCAAACTTACAGGTGAGATGCATGGTTTTCATTTTCAAGGTGAGCACAGCAACCTCTGTCAGACACTACACAACTATTAGTTTACAGTAGTTCACAATGATCCTATTCCTTTTTTTTTTTTTTGGTACCAGGGATTCAACCCAGGGGTGCTCAACCACTGAGACATATTCCCAGCCCTTTTTTATATTTTATTCAGAGTCAGGATCTTGCTGAGTTGCTTAGAGCCTCACTAACTTCCTGAGGCTGGGTCTGGACATTCACCACCACACCCAGCCATAATGATCTTATTTTGACAATGACACCTCATCTTTGCAAAAGACGTTTTTAGTGGTTGCTATAATAAAAAGCAAGGATTGGATGAAGTTAGTGTAGAATAAGGAATGAGAATGGTGGGGAGCAGTTGGACTCCAAGGTTGGAGAGATTGTATGGCGCTCAACAGGCCTACATAGCCATGAGCAAGTCACTGGCTATGTAGGAAACAAATGGAAAGTATCACTTTTTCTTTCCATTTGTGTGTATTGTTTCTTCAGATGGCTACTAAGTTATTAGGATATAAACTGTTATGAAGGTGTTCACACCTAACCATTTAATCAATGGGAATTCTGTATATTTCTTTAGGTCTAAGGGTAACACACACACACACACACACACACACACACACACACACAGTCATTAAGGCAGGAAGGATGCTGTGAGCAAAGGAAGTTTGGAAGCTTTGGATTCATGGGCTAACCTGAGTTCCTTCTATTAAAACAAACACACACACAAGCAAAATGATCTCATAAGAAGTTAGAGCTAGAAGAAAGTTTGCTGTAATTTGGTAAGAGTCTGCCAAGGGCCCAGTCAGTGGAACTATGGGAGGTGGAGGAATCTTTAAGAGCTAGAGTCTAGTGTGAAGTCCCCAGGTCACTGGGCAACAGCCTAATAGAACTAGACTAGTAAGGGACCCAGAAAACACACAGAACAGGAATCAAATTTATGTATCAGGAATCATTGAAAATTCACTGGCCAATCTTCCTGGGAGGGAGTTCTCATTACCAAGAA